CTTGTTTGTATAATTGAAAAAAAATATTTTACTTAAATATATTTACACACACACACACACGCACCACATTTATTTAAAAAACTGCTAATGTATATTCCATATCTCAAATTGTTCTTTTTAATTCATTTTATTAATTATTATTTGTAATTTGTTTTATAAAAAATGATCAACATAGATCGTTAAAAAAAAACTTTACAAGAAAAGTATTGTCTATTAATAGTATATGTTTTCCGCAGTAATAATAATAACGATAAGGTTACAAGGCATTTGTTATGTTTTACGCTGCATTAAGTTGCTTCTTTTATTCTGAGACTTACATGAATCATTAGCACATTTTCTAGGAAAATTGCTTTACTACCTGAGCATTCTTTCTTTTATCCCGACTTTTGTCCTTCAAAAATCTTTTTATACGTCTTTTTATGCAATATTGTCGATTAAATCTTGCATATCGTCTACAAACACCGAACAAGCCAGATAAATAATTTTGTGTGAACATATTTTTGACAATTTTGCGACACTGACCCTATTTGCGAATAATCAAATTTTTTTCGTGTCGATTTAAAGCGTCTGTGTCTCAAAAGCCTCCGCGAATGCGTTACGCAATGTCAACGATATCAATCAGCGAAACGCTATATTTGCATTCCAATTGCTTGTATTCAAGCCATTGACTCGTGAAATAGTAGCCGAATTATACATGTCACGTAATATTACAATATGTTACAGCGTTATTTCGATCTTAATGGCGCTAAATATTGTCTACTCGTATATTTCTAGAAAAATAATACTATATATGTATAATTGTGATAATATAGCGAATATTTTACAATATTATCTATCAATATCGCTTCTTGTGGCATAACATTCGTGCTTATCGTTCTGTAAATATCATAAATTTGCATAAGAATGTACAACTGTAAAAAATAAACGTATGAACTTTCAAAACATTTTTATCTCATAACCTATTTTTTTTTTGCTAGACTAAAACTTTTCAAATTTACTGAAACTGTTCCTTTGCGTATTAAAAAATTAATTATACTCGCGAGAATGAAACCAATTAATTGTCATTATCATCGACAACGATAGGGACGTAATTATGCAAACGCGAATAAAATTGTAGATCATCCGGCAAACAAAGAATATCATGAGAAATCTGCGAACAATTTCTTTGTTGCAACTTTCTCATTATAGTAGTTAATGCTCAATTACGACTGAATGCCATTTTTCAAATTGTGATTACTTCTACACTCCACTCGCTATTATGTGCTATTTCTCTATTCAGAAATAATCGCACGTGTATACGAAATTATCCGATGTTTTAATCATTGTAATTGCTTGATGAATGGCTTCATAAAGTCATATAGATTATCATATTTTATTTTTTCATACATAAAGGAGTCATTTTTTGTAATTAAAAATTATTAATTATATTATAAAATTACAGTTAAACAATTATTTAGTGAAAGGAGGAAAGAAATATTAAAAGTCATATTATAATTGTATTTAAATAAGCTAAAAATGATTAATTACAAATAAAAAAAAAATCTTTTAGTTATATTTATAAAAACTTACTAAAATTGAGTATTTTATAAATAACAAAAATGATTTTAAAGATCTTTTTTATATTTATATATATTTTTATTTATATTTATATATATTTTTTGTTTTGTTTTAAATACGGCTGTAATATTTTATACAAGCAGTAAAATTTGCATTAGAATAAAAACATAATAATTATCTTTGTTTCAACATATAGTACATATACAGAATGTATAATTAACGATAAAACTCTCTCGCATAGCGACAGAATGAACTAAACTAAGTCGAACAGTCCTTTATCACTTTGCAATTTTCGCAATAGTTAATAAGATATTAATTATTAAAAATTGTTGAATACTGGTTTACAATAATTTTTTACTGAAATACTATTAACTTTACAGAAAAATAGCAAGAGACAAAAATTGTTTATTTTCTTCTCATAAAGTTCTGAGAATTTTTTTTTAGAATTTTTTAATATCGTATTTTTTTATGTTGGTAAAAATAAGAAAATGCAGTATTAAAAAGTTGATAAAAAATTCTGAAAAAATTCTTAGAGCTCATAAGAAGAAAATAAACAATTTTTGTTTCTTGCTGTTTTTGTAAAGTTAATAATATTTGAAAAAATTATTAAGAACCAATTCAGCAATTTTTAGTAATTAATATTTGTTAACTATTGTGAAAATTGCAAAATGATAGAGAACTTTTCGAATCAGTTTAGTCCGCTATACGAGAATTTTATCGTTAATTATCAGATGTCCTATATATATAGCATTGTCTGCGAGTTTTCATATAGATTATTCAGATTTTATTTTTCAACATATATCTAATAAAACATAGAACAGTATATAAGACATAGATTCTTTAAAGTTTTTAAATTAATTAATTTCAAACTTTACTTAAGAACTTGTGCAAACACACATGGAAGAAACTTTCCAACAAATCATGTTGTTCGATGAAACTTATGTTAAATGTAATAAAATTGTTTTTTTTTCGTTATATTTAAATATGTTGGCAAATGTTTACTCTTTAATGTATAATAATGCGTGTTAATTTATAGTTAAGCAAATACAGAAAAAGCTTTTATGTATCATATGTGCAATATTATCATGAGAAATATAGTATTTTGGGATCACTGATTTTAATTTCAAATAAATTTTTTAGTAAAGAAAATATTAAATTAAATCAATACAATGTTTGAGTTAAAAGGTAGTTGAAATAAAAACTTTTCGACTATAAATATGTATCGACTATAAATATGTAAATGACAAAATATGTAGACAAAATATGTGACAAAAATTTTATTATTCTTATAACAAGTTATTCAATGGATTTTATTTTGACAGATGCGTAATTCGAAAATTAATTGCAGGCATCGAAAATCGACGTCGAAAATCAAAAGTTTTTTTTATAACAAATGAGAATTCTCCCCAACTTCTTCTGTAAGAAAAACTTAGTTTCAATTTAATCGAAGAGCGAACGGATGACAGACGATTTATTAAGTTTGGGACGTCTTTGGATAGCTTCTAATCCATACGTTGAAGCTTACCGGTGGTGGTTCGGTGGTAGAATAGACCTCACTAGGCGCATAGTGACTCTGCGGCATCTTCTCCGAGACGACGGCAACAGTTGCCAGGGAATCCGGCTGATCTTTCTCCATTGTCTTCCCGATTCGGCTTAATCCGCGTAGCACAAAATACACGGTCAAACGACCCGGGACGTCAGTATCTTCCTTTTCCTAATCCGGCCGACGGATGGACGATTATTTAAAAACTCCCTTTCTCTCTTTTCCTTACTTGCTCCGGTACCACACGGTCTCAGTGGCTCGACTGGTCGACGAGCAGTGAGCGTCGAGGAAGCACCGGCACCGCTAGCTTAGAGATGTCCCCACTTAAACCGGCGTGCACTACCTTCAGCAAATGTTACCTTCTGGTACCAAGGCGTACCCTCCGCACCGTCGACGGCGGTGTTCTCGTTGCTCGAACTTTCTAAACACCGTGTGTGCGCGAGAAACACGCGTGAGTGAACGTGAGCGGTTCGCCGCTATAATGTACGAACGAATGCATGTCCATCGCTTTGCTTCCCACATGTTTACCGCACTATGCTCGAGCACAGCAATTTTCACGACATTTTTTCGTCGCGTTCTTCTTCGATTTGAGGGAAAAATCGCGGAACGACTAATGATAAAACGGAACGGAGAAACAGTTTCATACTAGCATGCGCAGCTTATTTTTTATTTAAATTTTGCATTTTTTTTTTTTTTTCGAATATATTTAACGTCAATATCTGATTTCAACGCTATATAAATTTTTAAGCTCAATTGAGTACGAGCGTTTGATTGCAACGATCCTTCGCACGCAAAAAAATCTTGCGGTGAGCTTTTTTCATGATGAGCTTTGCTCAACAATTGCAGAGTGTAGAAGCGACGTTATCGGTCCCTCGGCAATTCGTGGTGTGCAAGAAGAGGTTCATATTACAACGATAGTACATGGCGGACTGTGCGTCTACGTGGCGGGAGAGACGACACCGAGAAAGCACCGAAACTCCTTCGTTCACAACGATAACAATGCTTAATTGTCGTGAGAGCATCGTTAGTAGTATTAGTACGAAATAATAAACATTCATATCCCTTATAAAAAGATGTATATACTATAGACATTATAGAGTATTCGTAATAATTGCTGCATGTAGAGCTGCCTAAAATTCGCGTTCGTGATAGATTTGTCAATTAAACTGCAGTAGATATTTTTAAAGAAGTAGATACATAAATATTTAATTAATAGCAAAACATTATGAAGTTGTAAATATTTTCAAACACGTTGCAATAAATCTACAATATCATTTAGGGATGACGTTTAGATGTTCCAATATGTCTTTTGATTGCAGGAACGGATCGATTTTCATAGATAAATTTTCCTCGATTTACCTCGCAAGCAAGTGTTACTGAACAAAAGGTGTGCTTTTGTAAGTAGATTGGTAAATATATGTATGTACACGAGTAGTGTGACGAACGGATCGCGGAGAAAGTAGGAAATGTACCTACTCCTCTGTACAGTAAACGTGAGGCCGCGTAGCAAATCGTCGCCTGCTTGCATATGGTACTTGCGAGAAATAACGAGGAAAAGAATGTGCCACGTTTCTGCTAATTACAGATATAAGAGATCTCTAAATAGTGTAATTGTTAAAGGTCGAAGGAGATCCGCAGATCAAGAATGAATTTAACTGAAATCAACTCTAATCTTACGATGATCTTTCTCTGCCAAATCTTTTTCGATCCAATTTCAACAACGCGTGTTCGTAATTTCAGGAACGCTTTGAAACCCACGCTCTACTCGGTTAATTATCCATTAGAGAGAATGTATAATTAAAGATATAAAAAAAAAAAAAGACGGATTTAATTATAAACTCACCGCACGTTCTCGCAATTCTACACACGCAATGTATCACAATAATCGTAGGATGGCATTTTGGTCGGATTAAAAAAACGTAGATTGAAAAATTATCTTTTGATTTGCTATTAAAAAAAAAGAAAATTTACCTTGTAACAATTCGTAATTCAAATTAGCTTTCACTTCCTATATGGGAAAAATCTGTTTCAATAATTTAAACATTTCGATTCGCCATATCGGATACACTTTCATTTCGTCGTCTCCTTTCGTAGTCGCCCACAATGACGCGAAATGAATGTCTCCTCGATATTTCTTGCGCTCAGCTATCATCATAACGGAGAATAGGCATTCCCACGTAGTGATCGTCTTCTTACTAATAAAACGAAAAATAATGTAACAAGAAGACACATCTTGGACTATTTCTCCCTCAGGAGAGGCGCTTGAAAAATATGTTTTCTCCATACGCGGGTGGGGAGTCATGTTAGTATATAAAATGCATAATCATGCTCGCTTAGAATCTTTTGATCCTCTGTATATAATGTATCGTAAATAGATGGCCGCGTCACCATTTACGGATACTCGCTTTCTCCAACAGTAATGTAGACTCCACTCCATTTCTGTTGCGTTTCTCGCGTTTAAAGATTTACACAATAAATCACTCAAAATATATTTTTTGAAACCAATCGTCAAAATTACAAATCGTTGTTTAAATAAATTAATTCTCTATATCACATTGAAATTTAATTTGAAAAAAAAAATTGAAAAAGTTCAAATTTTTCGTGTAATTTTACAAACAGCAAAAAATTATATATGCAAAACAAATAATATATTTTTTTAAATAAAATTAAAAAGAATATATATTCTAAGTTTGTTAATTAAATGTGTAAATTAATGAAATATATAAATTGGCATAAGTTAAAATGTATATATATATATATATGTAAGTTTACATCACTTGTAGCTTTTTAATTTATTTTGCGGTGTATATGTATACTATATCATGTATGAATATAATTATAAAATATATTATTTTGGAAGAATTAATCACCAAGATATGATGTAGATCGGTTAGTGCTACGTTCCTGGATGGAGAAAACTGCTACTATCTATTCTCACGCAATATCTAGACGATAGATGATTTATATACATTGTAACGACTATGTTTGATGTTTATCCATAAATCTTAATCTTTTATCAAATCATAGAACGAAGCTGTGTAATGTAAATTACAGATTTTAATATTTTAAGAGACAAAATATTCGTAAATTGCAAATATGTTTGCAATGAATATTATAAATCGTCTTTTATTTAATAATATTAATTAATTACAGTTCTAACCAAAATAACGATATATATATGTATAAAGTTGATGTATTATTTCTAAACTCTGTTATAGATTTGAAAATATTTTACTTAATATAATATCGTATTTATATTATTTATAAATATATATAACTGTGTTATATATTTATAAATATAACTTACAAGTATATAAAATATTCAGATTCAAAATAATTACTTTTTTTAAGATGTATTCATCGTTTCATAAATCATGACTTTATTATAGCCGCATAATGCAATTTTTTCTCCCGAAGGGTGCCAATATGCGTCTACAATCGACATATTTTTAGACAATGGTACAGAGCTTGCGTCTTTTCGAGTCCATTCGTACACGCGCGTACATTCGGAGAGCACAAATAGTCGAGGATGAACAGGACTCCATTTGATAGCTGAAGATAATAAAAATAACTGCATTATCATTTCTAATGAGAATTGAACAATTTTTAACGATATACCTGAAATGGGATTTTCAAGTAGCAAATAATCCAGATAATCCGTACAGATGTCCCATATCCACACTGTGGTAGGATAAAGTTCATGTTTCAGAGCCAGGTATTGTCCACATGTGCTAAATTCAAACAATTTAACTTTCGCTATCGAGAAATTGTCATTATCTTTCTTTCCAATTTCAATGCATATAGGCCGTTCATGTATTTCACGTACTAAAATTACAAGAAAATCAGGTATTTAAGATATCTGTATCCTGAATATAAATAAAAATTTTTTTTGTAATATGATTTGAATGTGATAAACTTCAACTCGCCAAGATCATTTACTTACAAACACGTTCCTCATAAGATGCAAAACGTTTATTAGAAACTTTCTCCGAATCGGCATATTCTTTGTATACTTTTGTTAGATAATTACATTCTCTGATTACTGGATCCATGTATAATTTCGACAAAGGCTGCCACGTGATGTGATTAAGGAGGACGACCTGAATATAAATTTTAAATAACCGGAAATTTACCGGTAACAAAAACAACATGATTTATAATAACACATCGTGATTAAATTATACCACTTCGTTAAATCCTATTACAGCCAACAATTGTCCACTTGGAATCCATTCTATATTTTCAATTCCTTTCAGCTCTTTCCCATAAGTACACGTTTCAGATGGCTGTGCCGGCGGGGAAAATGCTGTTACGTGTTTCTCCAATATGTTAGAATAAATAATCAACTTTGGTTCGGCAGGAGAGGAACACCATATGCATAATAATTCATCGTTTGGCGACCAACGAACCCCGTCGATGCCGCGCAAACGATCGCAAATAAGTTTCTGGAACAGTTCGTTGATTCATTATTTTCGCGCCAGTTTAAGATCTAGGGAATTTTATGACTGCTAAACTAGAGTTTTCAATGCTAACTTCTTTTACCGACGGTAGCAAAGTCTATTTTCGAACAATCGCCAATTGTTGAAATCCTTTATAACTGTATATTTTTAATTTTATTTTTTACTCAAGTTATATTTTTCGCATTGAAGAATGCGAGAGATATACAAAAGACATGGAGAGAAGACTGTTCAACTACATGCTGTAAACTGTTATTAAGCGCACGATGCGTCATTTATACATCCTTGTCGTTCACAGACTGTTAAACAAGGATGAAATGATAGTTCTATTCTTGTTGTGCATACATGTAAAAAAATGGCTGCTACCATCTGACCGCGTGAACGTTTGAAAGGTCCTCGTAACGATCCATTTTTTTCTACAACCTCCACAACATGACATGTTACACTGCTTGTTCGTGCAACCGTGTTCCTCATTGCGCTGATTGGGGCATCAATGGATTACTTTGCTTCGGAACCCGAAATGCAATCGCTATATACGAGCCACGTGCGAACATCGGTCATGTAACACATACATTGCACCGGCATCGTGACCATGTCAACACAGTACACTGGATAAAGCCAGGAAACGGTGCACCGGAATCGGAATTGTTGTCAGGTTCTGTAGATGGTACTGTGATTATTTGGAGTAAAGGTCAAAGTACGTTTCAATGTACTTCGGTGTTGAATGTAGAAGGCACAGTTGTCTTCGCAGATTCTCTCCAAATGGTAGATAATACTTCGTCTACTACATTGGCGAAGCTGTTAATATGCACAGGTTCAGTCTGCGGCAATGTCAAACTATGGTTGAGAGAGGAAAATGCTGATGTTAAGCAGATTCAGTCTCTAATTTTCGGAAGAAAGTTACCAATATATTGTCGCCTGATGTATTTACTAAACAAATGTCCCCTCTTGGCTGTAGCATTAGAGGATGCTTCTATCTTGCTGTATGCAAAATTTGATGCAGAATCTGATTTGGAACAATCTTTTGTAAATGTCCAGCGTTTAGTCGGGCATGAAGATTGGGTAATGTGTATGGATTTTATTCAGAATGATGATGGAAATCTTTTCCTTGCAACAGGCTCAAAAGATAACATGATACGATTATGGAAAATTAGTGAAAAAATTGGCGTCGAAGAATTTTCAAGCGATGAACTCAGACAAGAAAGTAATACTTTTGTAGTAAATGATAGGCAATATGATATTACTCTGGAATCAGTACTCTGTGGTCATGAAAGCTGGATTTATGGTCTGCACTGGCAGCCTATGAAAACAGATAGCCATCAAACAATGAAATTGCTATCCTCTTCAATGGATAAAACTATGATAATATGGGAACCAACTGAGATAATGGATGGAATGTGGACAGAGACAGTACGTGTCGGAGAAGTTGGTGGCAATTCTTTAGGTTTCTATGGCTGTAAATTTGACCCAGATGGATTACATATATTGGCACATGGTTACCAGGGTACTTTTCATATCTGGAAATATTCTCAAGAAATGAATAAGTGGTTTCCACGTCCTGCGCCTGGTGGACATTTTGCTGAAGTAGTCGATTTATGTTGGGAACCGAAAGGAAGGTTTGTATAAATCTTAGATGTGGAATGAAAGTCTTGTATATGATTTTAATTCTTGAACATTCAGTAATTTGTAAATAACAACATAGGTGCAACATTTAGAAATTTTGAACTTTACATTATTGTTATATATTATATTATTTCGAATAAATTTGTTTCATTTTTTTAATTTTAAATTGAATTTTTGTATTTTTTCTGTGTATGTGTATTTAATACTTGGAAAAAATATTTCTAAATTAATATAAATTTTTAAATTTACATTTAGAAAAAATTTAGATTTTGATCATTTCAATTTTTTTTTATACAATTATCCTGTTTTTTTAATGAATCATTATATTTTAATTAGGAGTATGGAAATACGTGGAAATTATATCGAGTATTTTAGATGAGAATAGATAAAGTTTAGAACCACAAAAAAAAACACGAGACAGAGAAAGAGAGGGAGGGGAGGGGGAGGGAGGAATAAATACATATGATATATTATAATACTGTTTACAGATTTCTCATCACAGCCAGTGTTGACCAAACTACAAGAATTCATGCACCATGGAAAGATGATGATCTTGAAGAATTATGGCATGAGATTGCGCGTCCTCAGATACATGGATACAACATGACTTGTTTAACTATATTATCACCGCATACATATGTTTCTGGAGCGGATGAGAAAGTGGTGCGCATTTTCATGGCCACGTCTACATTTAGGGATAAATTGAAATTGCTGGCGAATATCGATGATTTCAAATTTTTAAAGGCCCACAGTGCTGCTGTACCATCTCTGGGATTAACAAATAAAGCCACGTACTGTGGGAACAATGATGAAAATACAAAAAATTTAACAACGAAAAATTCATACGAACCACCTACAGAAGAGGAATTAATGCAAAATACACTTTGGCCAGAAACGAATAAGCTTTATGGACATGGCTATGAAATATTCTGTATAGCAGCGAAACACGACGGACAATTGCTAGCTACAGCATGCAAATCAACTACTCAAGAACACTCGGCAATCTTATTATGGGATACAAACACCTGGTCACAAGTTCAACAATTAAGCTATCATCAGTTGACTGTGACGCAAATGGAATTCTCTCCAGATGACAAATATTTATTGTCTGTATCCAGAGACAGAAGATGGTCATTATTTAAAGCTACCAATACAAGTTACAAATTAATTGCAGCTAGTTTGAAGAAAGACAATCCTCATTCGCGAATAATCTGGTGCTGCGCTTGGACGCAAGACTCGAATTATTTCGCGACTGGATCCAGAGACGGAAAAATCGCTATATGGTCCATAAAAACAATAGAAAATAATATTGTACCAAAGATAATTCTGGATATGAAAAATCAATCAGTTACAGCGTTATGTTTTGCGCCAAGTCATATTACACGAGATTTTTATCTTCTGGCTATCGGATATGAGGCAGGACACATAGAGATTCAAAGAATCAATATAGAGTTAGAGAGCGTATGGTCAAAATTATTGGAGTACGATACTTCTCAAGCTCATCATTTAACTGTAAAAAGACTCATGTTTCGACCTACTAATCACTCATATAATAACTTGCAACTAGCAAGTTGTAGTAACGATCATTCTGTTAAGATACACAATATAGAACTATCATCGTTATAATTTTTAGAAGAATTTTAGATTTTTACTTCAATTGCTTCAATATTTTTATAAAACTATGAAAATAATCTTGTATAAAATACTTGTATGAAATATAGATTTCAAGTAATCTATAAAAAAAGATCCATGTCGTTTAATTTATGTATTGTTTCAGTTGGTTGTACTTACTCGACTTATTTTCCAGTTCTGAGTTTTATAAATTTCTACTGTATCTTGATCTACTTCTGTAACTATTACTGCTAATCTCTCACCATTGGGACTAAAATGTAATTTGTCAAAGGAAGATGATTTTATATTTTGTATGTACGATACCGTTTGCTCTTCCAAGTTCCAAATAGACAGTTGAATCTGTAAATATCTTTTGTTTTACATTAGCGCATAAGTCAGATGTATTTTCTTACAATAAAATCTTGCACTTACATTAAAATCTGCTATGGTAAAAATGTGTTTACTATCTGGAGACCAGGTAACACCTTGCAAACCTGCACTACCCTCGGTAAGTTTACATTTCCACTGGGGATAGTGTAGCGAATATACCTGAACGATAGCTCTTTTTATATTCGCACAAAGAATATATTCGCTATTTGAAGACCACTCCATATACTGTAAAGTAACAAAGATAAAAGCATAGATATCAATCTATACAATCAAAAATAACGAAGATTTAATTGAACCATTTCTCTTATCAATACAAAACTAACCTGTATCAGATCCACGAATACAAACGATCGACAGGTATCGAGAGTCTGTGCATCTTTTATCAGCAGATTCGCTTGAAATGCTATCGCTAGATACGCTCCATTTCTTGAAAAGTGACATAAATTATTGTTTACGCGAAAAACTTTGTCCACGTTAACGTTAGTGGCCATTAGAAGGATTTGAAATCATTTGAAATCTGCGGTTTCCTTGACAACTTGATCAGTGTCGCCAATCGTAATGTTCTAAAAAAGTTACATCTTATTGAATTGTTGTAAAAATTTATTAAGTCTGTCTTTATGATTTCTACAAGTATTTCAGAGATCGAAATATATCCAAACAAGAACTGGCGATCAATCTAGGTTAAGTTTTGCGCTAATGATCAATTTTGTCCAAAGTTTTTGCCTGCGATTAGCTGCGCTTTTTTTTTACTGCAAATCCCGTGTCGCCCAATATGGGGAAGACTTTCAAGTGTGTTCTTTCTAACATTGCGTTAAATGTTTGTATTAAAAATAAAAGGGAAATATAATTGTCGTCAATGAGAAAAAGGGGAAAGACAAGCTTAGAAAAGACGCGTGTATCTAAATGATGAAAGAGATTTGTTACTAATTGTAAGCGAAAATTTTTGTAGACGTTTGCAGGACTGCCTAAT